CGCTGGCAGGTTGCCCTGCAGAATGCTTGCTTGGTGTTCCAATGCCTTCCTTGCTTTATCGACTTGCATGCCTCATTGTAAGCCTGTTCCTTCAAATTCTTAGTGAAACTCATGCCAAATTTGCACAAGTGTTAGCAACGCTTCAATCACCCCATACAACCACGGAGCTTCCCACATAGTCCATCTACCGTTGTAGAGTGACTCTCCGCAACTGGTACGTCAGCCCCTCCTTCCACGTCAGCCTCCTCCGCCCCTACATCCCGTCAACGAGTCGTCTGCCACGCAGCCGTCCATCGAGCATGGCGCACCACCTACCTAGTCTGTCATCGCACCCGACAAAATCCTTAGTTACCGCGTCCGTGACCCACATGGAGCCCGGCGCATCGAGTTCCTGACTCGCTGAAGAGACAAAACACCAACAGAAGACAGTTGGCCCCCCCTGGACAAAATCGAAAACCACAGTGTTCTCACCGAGTACACATGTGTAGCAGAAATTTCCATGACATCCACGCGCTTTCATAACGTCCTCCCTTGGGGAGGGGGGTGGTGTAAGGAAAATATTTTTTACTTCGCACCACACCGCATACCGCGTACGACACCCTTCACGCCAAAACACCCTAACAATATCCTGTTACCACCTCGCGACATTCGCGTCGGTACTATTCCCGCCACCACGACCACCGTGCCCAAACCACCCGGCTCGGCTGGTAACCTGCGACCCGGCCCTATGCCTCGACAATTCCCAACCTCTGCGCTAAGCCCGTAGGGCTTAAGCCCAATTACCGTGACCAAATAGTTCTCTCATGCCTTAGGGCGTGGAAAATCGCCCGGAAACAGATTGGCCGGTCAGGTGTCGTCCAGTTGGTCAAATATTTTATTCGCCAAGGTCGTCACTTTTCCGGCCAGGTTGTCGACTATACTTCAGCCAATTTACAGCCAATGTAAATCTTCCACGTGTTTGGTGGCCGGTATTGCGAAGGTTGGAAACTTTGGTTTTGTTTTGGGGGGCATTTACAGCGACACCGTCGCATATACCTTGAATTCACCTTGAGACTTCGTGATGAGTCGCCGTGATGAGCTGGCAACGTCGCCATCGAACTGTAGCTGTGAGAGTCGACTCAGTGGCCTTTCCAGAATTGACAAAAGTAGGAGGAGTGTCGACACTTCATTTCGGCCACTTTGCCACAAGTGGCCGAATTCTGCGAGCTACGCGAGATATCGACGACATTCACAACTCTGTTACTTTCGCAACAGCCACCTGGCCGAATAAGCATATAGGGCGATTTTCCATGCCCTTAGCTTATTGTATTATTGTTTGCTTCGATAGAGCAATTCTCGCTCTATCACACACAAACATGAGGTGCAGGCCCACAAGTGCCGATTCTGGGTACGTGAGGCCTCTGACGCGGTACAGGAGATGCCTTTGGGCATGCAGCGGGCGGAGGAAGGACTCATAGTGGTGGGGGTCCCCATGGGAGAGGAGGACTGGGAGGTGGCTCGTTTGCGGGAGCGGCTTTGACAGCTGCAGGCGCCCTTGCCGTGGCTCACCTTGCTCGACCACCCGCAGCTGGCGTCACATCTCCTGGCTACCACTGTTTCAGCGCGGCTGATGTACCTCGCGCGGACAGTGCCGCCACGGCCAGAGGTGGTGGACACTTTCATTGACTGGGACAGTAGTTTGGAGGACTGTTTCGAGCAGCTCTTCCCGTCTGGCACTTGAGAGTACGACCCTGGCCGGTCTAGGCTGGCCCGCCTGCAATTGCACCTCCCTGTTAGTCTCGGCGGTTTCGGGATCCGAACAGCGGCTTCCTTGAGTTCGCTGTCTTATGCTTGTGGTTTAGGGTTTAGGCTGCACGTGACATTGCACAGTTGGGGGTAGCGGGCGAGGAGGCGATGTTTGCGGACTATCTCAGGACCGTGGCGGGGGTGGATTTTCTCGACCCGTGGTTCTCCAAGAGCCTCCAGCAGCTGCCTGCGGCTGTACGTCACGAGATGCCGAGAGCTTGCCTATCTGCGTCGCTGCCCCCCCTGTTCGTCTCTTCCTGGCGCGGCTGCGGCAGTTGGCTGTGGAGGAACTCCAGGCTGTGCGTCGATTGGCCAGTGACGACGCCACCCTAGCCCGTTTCACATCCCTTCAGGGCCAGGGGGCTGGTGCATGGGTCTCGGCTGTCCTAGCTCATGCGGATTTCACCTTCACGGCTGCTGAGTGGGGCATTGCTGCCCGTCTTGGCCTTCCGATCCAGCAGTTACACGTGGCAGGGCGTTACGTATGCGGCACGGTGTACGCGGACCCGACGGACCCGCACCATGCACTGCGATGCAAACACCAGCACGGTCCCTCTCGGGTGCACGATGAGGTGAAGTTTGCGGTGGCGAAGATATCTAAGGCATCAGGGGGGGTGGTGACGATGGAGGACGGCATGTCGTTACCAGGAAAGTGTGTGGATGTTCCGGTGCGTCGACCGATGGACGGAGAGGCGCACGCCTTGGAGATCATCGTTGGAGACCCCTTGTCGCTCTCTCCATCTTTGATCGGGCAGTGCGGGCGGTCTATGGGCGTTGCGGCCAAGGAATGGGAGCGACGGAATGCGAACAATTTCGCGTCGTTGCTAGCGAGCAATCGGGGTGTGCAGCTCACACCTTTGATTGTTGAGACATGGGGGTGCTTGGGTGGACGTTTCAGGCGTTGGTTGAGTCAGCAGAGGGACGCTCACTTACGGTTAGCTGTGTCGCGAGGGGCCTGTCGGGAAGATGACGTGTCGTTCTCGTCATATCTCTTGGGGTATTTGAAGGCTCTTATCAGGGTGGTACTACAACGGGCACATGCTCGAGTTATCTTGTTGCGAGCCGCGTCGTCCATGGGGGGGGTGGACGTTGACTTGGTAGATAGGGAGAGGGAGGATAGGGTGGATGAGTGGGGGGCTCTCTGGGGGGAGGCCCCGTATATGTCGGATGCACGGATGTGAGGGGGAGCGGGGGGAGGATGGGGAAGGGGGTGAGGGGGGTGGAAAATGTTGAGGCTAAGCCCTGCACGCGCCTGGTTTCGCGTGTAGCAGCCCTATGCGGAGTAGCGAGACTTCGCATACCGCATACCGGTTTTACCTGTATTGCGGTATTCACCAAGTACACTCCAATCTGTGCGCTTCGGTATGCACATTTCGACATTGGACCAGGGAAGTGACGACATTGCACAAACGCGTATGTGCAACTGTCAGTGTTGCAAGAACCTGCGCAACTACTCCTGGGCAGGTAGAAATACACCTGACGGTATTTTCACCTGATGGTATTTTCACCTGGCGGTGCCAGCCTGGAACCGCATACTAAACCCTGGTGCTTGCACGTTCTCCTTGAACAACGTTCTTCATGAACAACGTTCTCGTAGAACGTTCTTGCACACGTCACTATGCTTCTCTATAAGGTTCATGTTGTTTCTGTTGTAATATATCAATCAATTAATCAATTTCGTTCCGTTACTGCATACCATCCTTGGCATCAGTATTCGGTTTCCACAAGTCCGTATTCGGTTTACCAGCATCCGCTTTGAAACTCTGCGCCTAGGCTCTCCCACAATCGCCTATTCTCCGCATGGTGCGGTGAGCGTGGACGCATACGCGAACTTCAGATTGCCTCGTATACGTTTGACGAAGTTGTCAACCTTGAGCCAGCAGCCACATCGATTCCGTATGGCTGGCGAGGGCGCCGCTACGGAAGTCATGGACCTGGAGGCGCAGGTCGCTGCTTTGCGGGAGCGCCATAGCGATGGCGAAATCAGTGACGCGGATTTGGAGCTGATGATCAAAAGAGCTCGTGCGAAGTGGGCTCGCGATCACCCACCTCCTCGCGCTGATGCGGAAATTGAGTCCGCTTCTCCCCGTGCTGAAGGCAAAACCGTCAACATCGATGGCAATGAAGGCGCAAGAGTTATGCGCGGTGAACTGCGAGGGGCCGTCAGAGTGAACACCGCGAGCGTCGGTGGAACGCAAGCGCAAGTCCTTCGGTCTGCAGCTGCAGCGAGTGCGCGTAGTGACGCGCATGGTTATCGCAACTCTGCACGACGGAGCACTGGCGGACACTCGTGGACGACAAATGGTGGAATCGCTCCAGAATACGGATACTTCAAGTTCTCCCCCGACAAAATTGCTGTGCCGAAACTGCTTGAAGGGCGTCACGACTCGACAACGTGGGTCGAGTCCATTGAGCCGCAGTTGGAGATCGCGCAACTGAAGAAGTTCGTTGACGGAACGGTGGAGGTGTCGCCTGAGGAGGATGCTGAGCGGCGCGCACAGTTTCATTCTGCACAGCTGTTGACGTTTATGGTCATCTCAAGGTGTTGTTCGCCGGTCGTCCAAGTTGCATTGAAACCATGCCGTCTTCGGGTGGACGCAGGATTTCAAGCTTGGCAATTCATAATGAAGACCTACAAGGCAACGGATGACCTTTACATCGGTCAGCTGGAGCAACGGTTGACGAATCTGGAGATGGGGGAGCACGAAAGCGCAACCGCATACTGCAATCGCGCACAGCAGATACTTGCAAATCTTCGCATGGCCGGCGTCGACTACGCAATGTCTTCGTACGTCACGCATGTCATCAAAGGTCTACCTGCAAGCTACAATCTCCTTCGACGCATGGTGAAACTCCCAGGTGTACGTGAAGAGCTCGACGAGGATACGCTTTCCAGCTACATCATTGAGGAGGAGTTCACCCTTGAATCCGAGCGGCGCAAGGAGCAGCTTCTCCCTCAAGTCAACTATGTCGCGTCGAAGCAGCAGCGTCAGCAACAGAAGTGGGAAAAGTTGCGCGGAGGAGGCGACAATGAGAAAAACGTCTACCGCGCGAAGACGACCAAGGGCGACGAGGGTTCCGGTGGCAGAAAGCGCAACTCCCAACGATACTGTTTCGTTTGTGGAGATCCCGAGCACTTCGCGAATCAGTGCCCCGACCGCGTCAACAAGGAGGATGGCGATGGTCAAAAAGCTCCGGGCGAGGGTTACATATTTTCAGTAACCCTCCAGATGCCGCGCCTGCCTCTCCGCCTCAAGCTCCTCCTCCGCCTGCTCGCGCCTCTCCTTCTCCATCGCGCCTCCCTCCTCCAGCGCGCGGCAGCTCGCCCGCAGCCCTGCCAATAGCCCCTCCAGCTGTGCCTGCTGCGTCTCCACCGCCTCCCGCTGATCCCGCTGCTCCTGCACCTGCTGCTGCGCTCTGCTCTTCTCCTCCTCTGCTGCCGCCAGCACTCTCTCCTTCGCCTCCACCTCCGCGTCTCTCTCTTTCAGCGACCCTCCCAGTGCAGCCAGCTCAGCTTTCAATTCACCCACGCGTTGCTCCACCTTGCCTCTCCTCGCCTCTGCCGCCTCCACCATCCTCACCTTCTCTGCCACCTCCGCCTCTCGTTCCTTCACCTGCCCGGACAGTTCTTCCACCTGCCCGCTCAGCTGCTCCACCTGCCCTTGAAGCCCCTGCAGCCGCACCTCCAAAGCCGCCCTCTCCTCATCTACCCTTCTCCTCTCCCCTTCCACCTTCTCCTTCGCCTCCTGCAGCTCCTGCACTGCACTCTCAGCCCTCCTCCTGGCCTCCTCCTCCTCACCTCTCGCCCTCTCCACAGCTTTCTTCTCCTCCTCCACCCTCCTCCTCTCCCTCTCAGCCACCTCCCTCGCATGCTCCACCCTCCCCTTCTCCTCACTCACTCGTCTCTGCGCCTCCTCCACCTCCTCCGCCCTTGCCCTCACCACCCGCACCTCCTGCTCTAGAGCCACTCTCTCCCTCTCCACCGCCTCCCTCACTCGCCTCTCCTCCTCCACCTCCCTCTCCCTCTCCTCCATCTCGCTCTCTCGGCACCTCAGAGCCTCTCTCGTGCTCTCCAGCTCCTCCTGAATCACCCCAATCTCGCCTCGCGCCCTCACAACCTCCGCCTCCGCCCTCTCCCGCGCCAGCACGGCGCCACCCACCTCCTCCGCCACGCGTTTCTTGAGCTCCTCCGCCTCCACCAGCGCTTCCAGCAGCTCCTGCTCCTTCTGCTGCTCCGCCTGCTCCCTCGCCCGCACCTCCTCCTCCTTGCCTCGCAGCACCGCCTCTTTCTCCTCCACCTCGCGCTGCACCTCTCGCAGCTGCCGCACCACCATCGTGTGCTCCACCTGCAGCTCCTCAAACTCCAGAATCCGCTGCCCCTCCTCTTCCAGCAGCTGCACCTCGCCCCGCCCCACCTGCTCTCGCGCCTCCTCCAGCTCCTCCTTCAGCCGCCGCACCGTCTCCTCCGCGTCCGCCCGCATCGCCTGTGCCTCTGCGCCCAGCCTCGCCAGCTCGCCGTCCCGCTCCGCCAGCTGCGCCTTCACGGCGTCGATTGCGTCCCCGCGCTCCTTCACCATTCCGCGCAGCAGCTCCGCCTCCCTCTCCATCATCGCCAGGTCGCCCTGCGCGTCCTCCAGCTCGCCCGCCCGTCGGCTTGCTTCTCGCTCCACAGCATCCATCTGCCGCGCCTTGAGCTCCGACTCGTGGATCAGGTCCCATACCTCGCGCCCCTTCTCCCGCACCTCTGCTGTCAGCCGCTGCACCTCTCTCTCCTTGCCCGCGGCTGCCCGCTCCGCCACGGCCACGTCCTTGCTGCTGTCGTCCAGGGCGCCCCTGAGCCCGCTGATCTCAGCGTCGCGCTGCTCCATCTCGCGCTCCAGCTCCGCCACCTTGCTGTGCCACATGCCCGCCTCCTCCCTTGCCTGCCTCACCCGCTCCTCACTCCCCTCATCACTGCCTTCCTTCCCCACGCCTGCCCCAGCATTCTCTCCCCCCACTCGCCCCGCATGGCCGTCCGCGCCCACAACACTGCCAGCATCGCTGCCCAGCAGCAGCAGGCGGCTCACCTCGCGCCTTAGCGCCTCCTTCTCCGCCCTCTCCGCCTCCACCTGCGCCTCCGCGCGCCTCTGCGCCTCCTACCCCTCGCGCAGCTGGTTCAGGCGGAACCGCAGCTCCCTGTCCTTGTCTGCCAGCCTGCCCCGCAGCTCCCCCTCCAGCGCGCGCTAGTCCTCCGCCCTCTGCGCCAGCTCGCCCTGCGCCTCCTTCACCCGCACGGACAGCTGCAGGGCGTCCGTGTGCAGCTGGGTCAGCACGGCCCCGCTGTCACCCCCCGCAAGGGCGGCGAGCAGGGAGTGCTGGCGCTCCACCACCTGCGCCTTCTCCCGCTCCACCTCCACCAGCGACTCCTGCAGTGACGTCACCTCCTTGCTGCGCTCCCTCACCTCCGCCTCCAGCTCCCACACGCGCTTCTCCAGGCTCGCCCCGCCACCAGACCCATCCGCCAGGCTGCCTGCTGCCCCCGCGCCCCCCTGCAGCCCCTCGAGGAACTCGATCTGCAGCTGTTGGTTCATCACGTCCTCCTCCAGCCGCCTCTCCCGCCGCACCCACTGCTGCCGCTCTTCCTCCATCGCCCTCTCTGCCGCCTCCGCCCTCTCCCGCTCCCACGCCGCCTGCTGCTGCGCCTGCTGCACCTCCACGCGCCGCTGCTCCACCTCCACCTTCAGCTCCACCAGCCACTTCGCCTCAGGTACGCCCTCCCCCGAATGCACCTCCCTCACGCGAGCCAACGCCTGCTTGCTCGCCTCTGCCTGCATGACCGCCTCCTGCCGCGCCTGCCTCACCTTCTCCGCCTCCACGGCCAGCGCGCCCTGCAGCCGCTCCACCTGCTCCTGCAGCTCCGCCGCCTGCGCGTGCGCCAGCTGCTTGCCGTCACTGGCATCGTGCCACATCTGCATCGCGCCCTCCACCACCTCCTTCGCCTCCCGCTCCTCCGCGCTCACCCGCTCCACCTCCTCCTCCAGGCTCCCCACCCGCGCCTCGAGCTCGTCTTTCCGTTTCGCCACCTGCTGGTAACCAGATCGCAGGGAGTCCATCTGTCGCCGCAGCGCCCTCAGCTCCTTGTCAGCGGCGGCGAGCTTGCCTTCCGCCTCCTCCCGCCGGCACACCGCCTCCTCGCGCTTGCCTCGCTCGCGGGCGACCATGCGCGTCTTGTGAGCCACCACGTCCTCCAGCACCCTCACCATGTCCTCACCCCCCCCCGCCAGCTTCCCCGCTGCTGCTGCCGACGCCTCGTTTGAGCCACTCTCGGGTTCATCACCGCTCTGCACTGCACTCGACCGTTGGAGAGCATGGGTCCATTCGTCCAGCTTGGCGTCCGCGGCAGCGCGCTCCGCCTCCGCGTCCCGCGCCCTGCCCATCCACGCCTCGCTCCGCCGCCGCTCCTCTGCCAGCCCAGCCAGCGCCTCGTCCCGCTCGCCCGCCAGCCTCCGCCTCTCCGCCTCTAGCTCCTCGCGCAACCGGCTCACTTCCCCGCCAGCCCATCCCTCCAGTCCTTCGCCAGACCCTTGCACCCACGGGCTGCTCACTTCGCCATCGATCGCGAAACCCATGCTACTTTGTCGCTCGCCATCGTCATCGCCATGGCGATGGCCGTTCGCGAACGGGCCTCACACGCTGTTGCTGGCGCCGCTCGCGAGCCCGCCGGGGTCGTCCGCCGTGCGGGCCTGGGACTGTTTGACGGCCGGCTGATGCGACGACGCGTCAGGAACGTGCGAGTGCTTCGAAGTGACAGGGCGGCTGCCCACACTCCCGATGTCGCGAATGCTGGCTCCGGGCGGGAGCTCCTGGCCCTGATCCATTCGCAGTAACCGTCCCAATTTCGCTTCCATTTCGTCGCGTTGCTGGTAACCCGACGCCATCCCTTGCACGGCAGGACCAGCGTGAACCGTTCCCGGGTCATCCCTGTCCGTCGCGTGTGGCCCGCGAGGCGAGCCGTCGCTCAAGGAGCTCCAGAAATCGTCGCCTTCCTTGTCGCCCAAATATTCCGCGAAGCCTCCCAAACCAGATGCCGAATCTGCACCCGAGGTTGCACCCGCGCGTGCCGACGATGCAGGCTCGGTGAAATCGAGGTCGCGCTCGAGCTCCTCGAAGAAGTCGCCTGGATCGCTGGGCGCGTTGAATCCGTTGACCTCGCCATGCGACGGCGGAGACAACAGCGAGCTCGACGGCGACGTGTCGTCGTCGTCCTCACGGCGTGACGCCATGGCTCACGCAGTCGTTAGCTTCGCGAAGCAATCAGCGGGCTGTGTGGCGCAAGAAATCCATCATCGTAGACCGGCAGGCGCAATGCATCTGATGCTGTCAGATTCTCATGCATGCAGCACCACAAGTTCCTAGTTCTACTTCCCGCATCATAATTCAGAACTAGCTGGAACCTCAATTGGCGAACTCTGTCAGTAGCAGATGGAGTCAAATCCGTGTGTTTGAAGTTGGAGTCTTGGGCTTTGCCCTTCCTTCCAAAAGCCTCAAAATCGCATTCCGTCAATTTCCGGCGGTCAGTCTGACCGAATCTGGTCTCGATGTTGCATACCCAGGGCCAAAAATGGCACGTCCGTTGGATTGCCTCTCTGTTGTCTTGGGCCTGTCATGCATCTACTCTACCAATGGAGGCTCTGGAAGGCGCAATCGTGCCTTGTCTCCCTTGGTGTGCTCCGTTATCATGCCAATATGTGCTCAATAGGTTGCACTGAAGTCAATATCTAAGAGTGATTACAACTACTGACTAAGAAATAAAGCCTAGCAAATATATAAAAAATGGGACCTACATTACCTAGATGGGGACCTCTGAAGGCGTGGTTGGGTTCTGATCTGGGATGCTAAGCCCGAAGGAGATGCGGGTCAGCTACGGGACCGACGTCCCTTGCAAAGTCGACCGACGTCCGTTTGTCTGATGAGATAGGCATCTATGATTAAGAAACAAAGCCCATAAAACATATAACAAAGGGACCTACGGTAACTAGATGGGGACCTCGGAGGCGTGGTTGGGTGTTGGTTTGGGATGCCAAGTCCGAAGGCGATGCAGGTCAGCTTCGAGATCCTGGTCTTCCGAAAGTTGGAAGTATATACGTTGTTGGAGTAAGTAGGGAGTTAGGTCGTATCCCTGGCAAGTGTGAAGAGTGGTTAGTGTCATGACACTTTCTCGGGAAACAGATGGAGGACAATACCTCATGGTGTAAGATTGTGGTATCTCGGGAAGTTGAACGGTCACGTCGCAACCCTTTCCTTGCGACAACTGACACATCGCCTGTCACCCAAACACAAGCAAATTTGCAGATCGCACAAACACATCCTCCGCGCGCCCGCCAGTCTGGTGCTCAACCGAAACCGTTTAAATTCCCGACGAAAGATGGAAACATTAGCGTGGGCCCAACTGTCAGATATATATGCCTTAGCCTATGTAGGCTGTAGTGGGGTAGACACTAAGGGGTACAGGTTTATATTTGTATCTCACACTTTCCTAGTTCATTCATTCCTATTGATTCTCACATGGTATAGAGCGGGTTCCCTCATGGGACCGTTCCTTCCTAAGGGCCCACCATAACAATTTTTTTTTAGCTGCCCGAAGCGAGTCTCGCGCCCTGCCCTAAATTTTTTTTTTCGCGGCCCCTACGTGGCCCCCACGCGACCCCTACCCGGCGCCTAGCGCGCCCCTACGCGGCCCCTACGCGGTCCCTACGCGGCCCCTACGCGGCCCCTACGCGGCCCCTACGTCGCCCCTACACGGCCCCGTCGCGGCCCCGTACCTGACGCCGCCCCTACGCGGCCCTTCGTCGCCTAGCGCGCCCCTACGCGCCCCCTACGCGGCCCCCACGCGACCCCTACCTGGCGCCTAGCGCGCCCCTACGCGGTCCCTACGCGGCCCCTACGCGGCCCCTACGCCGCCCCTACACGGCCCCGTCGCGGCCCCGTACCTGACGCGGCCCCTACGCGGCCCCTACGCGGCTCCTGCGCCGCCCCTACGCGGCCCCTACGCGGCCCCTACGCGGCCCCTACGCTGCCCCTACACGGCCCCGTCGCGGCCCCGTACCTGACCTGCCCCGGCCCCGACCCTGTCGCGGCCCCGTCCCTGACCTGCCTCGGCCCCATCCCGGACCTGCCCTGGCCCCGACCCTGTCCCGGCCCTACCCCGGCCCCGTCGCGGCCCCGTCCCGAACCTGCCCCGGCCCCGATCCTGTCCCGGACCTACCCCGGCCCCGTCGCGGCCCCGTCCCGGACCTGCCACGGCCCCGACCCTGTCCCGGCCCTACCCCGGCCCCGTCGCGGCCCCGTCCCGGACCTGCCCCGGCCCCGACCCTGTCCCGGCCCCGTTGCTGCCCCGTCCCGGACCCTGCTCGGCCCGGACCCTGTCCCGGCCCTGTCATGGCCCCGACCCAGTCTCGGACCTGTCGCAGCCCTGCCCCGGCCCTCTCTCGACTCCGCCCCTGGTAAGAGCATAGCAGGGCCGAGCCGCGCTGCCGAGCCGCACTGCTTTGCCGAGCCGCCCTGCCGAGTCGCGCTGTCCTGCCTAGCTCAGTTGCACTGCTGCCGCTGCTAGTCTGCTGCTGCTCCTATCATGGCTAGTCCTAGTCTTCTTACCTTTGATGCTGAGGGTCGAGCGGTTGACTTCGATATCTGGCTAGATGATCTGCAGCTTTTCCTTCAGTGCGATAGCAAGGATGGTCTCTCACTGTTTGATCTTACGTCGGGCGCCTCTACTGCCCCTGCTGCTGATGCTGACAGTACTGTTCGCTCGCAGTGGCTCACGCGCGATGCTGCTGCCCGCCTTGCTGTGCGTAGTCACCTACCGTCTACTGAGCGCGCGCACTTTAGTCAGTACAAGAGTGCTAAGACTCTGTACGACGCTGTAGTTGCACGCTACTCTTCCCCTGCCACTGCTGCGCTTAGCCGCCTCATGCTACCGTACCTGTTCCCTGACCTCGCCGCTTTTGCCACAGTCACTGACCTCCTTACGCACCTCCGCACTAGTGACACTCGCTACCGCGCTGCGCTTCCTGCTGAGTTCTGCGCCCAGAACCCCCCCCCCCATGTACATCACCCTCTACTACCTAGTCACTCGACTCCCTGACACTCTTCGCTCGGTCAGGGACCACTTCCTCTCTCTTTGCCCTACCACCCTCACTGTCGACCTCCTCGAGGAGCGCCTCCTTGCAGCAGAGACTAGTATTACCGCTGTAGGAGCCTCTCGTGGTGACCCCCATACCCCTTTCTTTGAGGGGTGCTCCCCCGTTCCTCTTTTGCCCTCTGTTGCCTCTGCTGCTGCTGTCGACCTTGTTGGCACCGAGTCGGTTAGCGCTGCGTCTGCTCCTAGTGAGAGGCGCCGCACCGGCACGGGCAAGTGGGGCAAGGGCGCTGGAGGAGGTGGTGGGGGCGACGGTAGTGGCGGTGGAGGCGGAGGAGGGGGTGGGGGTGGGGGTGGTGGCAGAGGTGGGGGCTTCGGTGGCAGCGGTGGAGGTGGAGGCGGCGGTGGCGGTGGCGGTGGCGGTAGGGGTGGAGGAGGCGGAGCCGGCGGCGGCGGAGGTGGAGCTGGTAGAGGCGGAGCTGTGCAGCGAGGACCCCAGCAGCAGCAGCGCTCTCGTGAGACCCCGTCGCCCCAGCAGCTTCGTGAGTGGTACACGGGGCGCCAGGGGTCTGGGGGTGCTGGTCCCTGTACTTACGTCCTGCGCACTGGCGACCGCACTGGAGAGCAGTGTGGCGGCCTGCACGCCACCCAGCGCTGCTTCGGTCGCCTGACAGACGCCTGGCGTGCCCAGTTCCCGGACGCCACTGAGATCCCTCGTTGGGGTGATCTGCTCAGGTCGGGTGTAGCTATCTTTGATCTTGACTTTGATGCTATTCTTGCTGCCATGTATGCTGTGTCTATTAGTGCTGAGGGTGACTGTTACGTGTGTGTTCCGCCTGACCCTGGTATTGAGGCTGCTGCTCTAGGTGCTCGTGAGTCTGCTGCTCCAGGTACTCGTGAGTCTGCTGCTCTAGGTGCTGGTGAGTCTGCTCTCTCAGGTACCGCGTCGGCGCAGGTCTTGCACACCTTCACCCTCGACTCGGGTGCTTCCCGCTCCTTCTTTCGAGACCGCACCACCCTTACGCCGCTCAGTCGGCCGGTTGCGGTCTCCCTTGCAGACCCCTCTGGGGGTCCTGTTCTTGCTCGCTACTCCACTGTCCTTCCATGTCCAGCGGCCCCGTCCGGCTCCCTGTCTGGTCTCTACCTCCCCTCATTCTCTACGAACTTGGTGAGTGGTGCTGACCTTCAGGATGCAGGGGTTGACCAGTTCACTCCTGCAAGTCAGCGAGTGACCCACTGCTCGTGTGCTCAGACGGGCCGCCACTTGGCCACGTTTACCCGTCGACCGGGGTCGAGCCTGTACACACTGACCACAGAGTCTCCCCCGGTTGCTGCGTCTGGTCAGGTAGCTGCGTTGAGTCAGGTGTTTGCTGCAGCGTCTCGGTCAGTCCTGAGTCTGCCCCCTGTTCGTGTCGCCTCCTGTCCCACCAGACCCTCCTCTGGCACCACCGCCTTGGTCACCCCTCCTTGCCTCGTCTCCGAGGCATGGCC